CAGCTGCAGCCGATGTCCTGCATAAGAAAATGACAAACAGGAGTTGGGATAAATGTACCCTTGCCAGAGGCTAATACTCACCCCACATGACCTTGATTTTGTCCCAAATATGCAGACTCATTTATAACTGTATTCGTATATAAATCAAATCATTAGCAGCCCCAGGATCCCAGCAATACTTTCTCCAGTGTATCAGGACATGCAGTTATGCTCCCTTTCCACACACATTCACGCAGCTGTGTGAGGGAGAATAGTTGGACCACTGTTACAGGCGTAAGAGTCTCCTCTTCAGTACCGTGCCATTGGCAGGTTAAGTGAAAGCCGCCTATAGAATTTAGAATTTAGAATTTGGTGATCAGTGGTGATTGTCAACACACCACAGCACACAGTGCGCAACAACGAAATGTGTCCTCTGCATTTAACCCATATGTGACTTTCGTGACATAGCAGCGGGCAGCTAATTCAGCGCCCGGGGAGCAGTGCTTGGGGGCGGTACCTTGCTCAGGGTACCTCAGTGGTGCCTTGCTGGTCGGGGATTCGACTCACTAGTTCCCCCTTTTTAAAAATAAGGAGCCTCCATTCCTGCAGTACCTGTAGTCGTACATGTAGTCGTACATGTAGTCGTACATGTAGTCGTACATGTAGTCGTACATGTAGTCGTACCTGTAGTCGTATCTGTAGTCGAGCAACGCATGGACTGAGTATACAGTTTCCTCAATAACTCCAGAGGAGGAAGTTCAGCAGTGGTACAAGGCTGACTTGAGCTGGGAGACTTGGAATGTATGTGAAATCTGATATAATAGTGGCAACTGCAAGTGTATATATTTTATAATCTCGAATGGACATTTATGCCGGGGTAAAGGACAATCATAGACAACGGAGTCACTGTGTTATCAATATTGAGGGGGACAGGGACAGATGACCTCGTATGTATAGCCTACCTAAGTACAGGCCATCCACTCATTTGATTATATACATTTGTTTATGTGTATGCAACTGGAATTATCAGCTAAAGTTTTTTTTCCCCTCGGCCAGTAGGTTAGATAAGAACCAAATTCTCCCGACCAGTTTATTTATATTTTTAAAAGCAAAATCCTGGAAAATTTTAGGTGGACAAACACCACCGTTTTGAATTCTGGGTGGGATATGTCCCCCCTCCACCCCCCATGAGTAACACCTTTGCTCATAGGAAGAGTGGGGACTGGTAGTGTAGAACACTTTAGAAGGTGTGAGGCATACCATGGTATGAACTAGATTATTCTGGATATAAGCTGCCCAAGAGAGATCATGACTCCATTCCGACTGATTGCAGGAGCAGTATTGTCTTGGAATGCAGTCAGTTTCTTGGACTGACCACTAAGGATATGTCTCATGATCACAGAGTGCTTATCATACCCAGAATGTGAATCCTAAGGCGTGGTCCTCCATCTGTGACAATGTCTTCTGGTGTTCCAAAGAACCTGACTAACCAAAACCTTGTATCAAGTCAGATGACACAACCAACATTGATATAGTCGTTAGGCCATAGGTCCCTAAACATCCCACGACCCCCAAAATAATGGTACCAGACATTTGCAACCCACCATTTTACCAAGGTGGTTTTGGGTGGCAGGGGGCACATTTTGTTCCTCTTGGTACAGTAGATTTATCAGTTGTGGTTATGGTTTCAATGGAATTTTTTCACATTTTAAAATTTATACAAACATACTTGAGAAATCTTGCGACTCCCACTTCGGGAACCTGTGATTTAGCCATGCTTCTCCAGAACAGAGGAGACCACCTCTGTTCAAGATGCCTGGGAGTATGGCCAACCATTTCTATCCGATAGCTTTCTATTCCTCACACACACTCCCTGCCAATGCAGTGACATTTCACATTTCATTGTCCATTGGAAATGCAAGGAATGTCCTTAAAGAGTCTCATTTCCACTAAACAATGGCTTATTGAACAGCAAAATAATATACAGTAATGCGGTGTAGACATACAATGGGCTTGAAAGACCACTCAAATAGCAGTTAAGGACAAGTCTTTACCTCTTCTTTATACCCCAGATGACCCTCCCCAGCAAGTTACTGTGTATAGGTGTTGTGAGTGAATTTATGAAGGATGTAGTTTCCTGAGGAAGCCTGAGACAGGGACGAAGCAGGATCGGAGCAAATGCTATTACTTCTATATCACCATAGTGATGCCAAATGTAACTCCCGGTCTCTTACTGGCTTACCCATAATCAGAATTTGCTGTCTGTATTCAAATGACCAACCATGGTTGGGTTTCATAACCCCTCTGTCTCTTTGAGATGTTCACACCCCGAAGGATTTCCAGTCAATGACAAGCCAATAATGAAACCATATCATTGACGAAAGAGGTCAGAGGAAACAGACACAACTTGTGCCGAGCAAGAGACAGTCTACAGTTATTTATCTGACTGTCCAGTATGTAACACTGGTGCCAAAACACACATAAAAGACCTAGAACTCATCATACCATATAGGGCGGGGCAGCTGATACCTTTACAGAGCTGCATTTCCAAAAACACAAAACTGTTATTGCAGTGGGCTAAGAAATAAAAGCATTGATCCAGCACACAGGTATTATGGCATAAATAAATGCAAAGGAGATAATGCATCCATAATTCTATGTGTCAACACTGTTGACTGGTGCTAGTGGTACGATGGTATGGATTGTGTCTTCATAGCATATACTGAACCTCCTGAAAGCTGCATTGCATACATCTGCAAATGGATTCTGTCAGCAGGACAATGCCCCACGCTAAAATGCTAGAATTATCCAGGAATGGTTTGATGAATATGACAGTGAATTTAGCTTAGTCCAGAGGCCCACCCAATCAAAAGATCTCAATCCAGCTGAATACCTAATAAGCTATATGGAATAATTTGAAGATCTACCAATATCCATCTTAGCAGAAATGTGGGAAGAATTCAGGTCTTTGTGGGTTAAAATCCCTATGGATTGTTTCGAGTTCCATGCCCTGAAGAATGTCCTTTTAGCAAATGGGAGTGCAACTAACAATTAGGCAAGCATCCCTAATGTTTGTACATACATTTCTGAATAAATACCTCTAGGTAACTAAGCATTTATTGCTAAAGTTTTATTTCTTTTATGACTTATATTTTAAACTATATATGAATGATAGACCAAATCAGTAAGAATCATTCCTTCCATGACTTCATTTGTATTTCCTGTTTTACCCTGTTGTGTGCATTGCACTACAAATTTTCCTGTGGTGCACTTTGAAAACAAAGGAGTTTCATGCTTACTCACCAAATTACCCTGAAATAAATGCATTTTGACTGCTGCATAGCAAAGTCCCACTGCCTTGCATTTTCTCTCTGTATGTAGTGCCAAGTTGTTGTACAAATCTTACAACTATAAGTAAAAAAACAAATATGTTTTGTTTATTGTTTATTGGACAAGCGCAGTATTGGTGACACACAGAGACACACATGCTACTACTTTCTACATACATTATTTTAAAGTAAGACCCCTAGCATTCAACACACCCCGCATTCCTTTACATTTATTATCATAGTAAAGAGAAAATAGGTCTGATTTTTGAAGATGGAAAAACTTTTTTTTCCCTTTTAGATCAATTTGGAGTTATGTTGAGTCATAAAAAATGTTGATTTTGCCTTTAATGAGATGATGGACCTTGAGCTGAGGTGTAATGAAAAGGGCACCTCTAGGACATTGTGATTACTGAGGGACTGAGATCCTGTAGTGCTCTGTCAAAACAGAACGTTGTTATAAAAAGAAACAGCGCAATCCTGTTTTTAATAATAAAATTCTGCCATTAGATTACTCCTTCTTCATTCATCTTTCTTTGTTTCTTATTCAGTTTGCTTATAATTGCATTTTTTTGTCATCTATAGTGCTATTGTTCTTGATCAGATTACAGTAATTTTAAGTGCAGAGCGTGTCCCTGATGACGCCCAAGAAAGATGTAGGCTTCCTCTATCTTTAAAAGAATCTCACTGCCCCTGCCCCCCTCTCTCCAATTCATCGCTCCCACCCTCCCTCTCTCCCTCTCTCTCTCTCTCTCTCTCTCTCGCTCTCTCTGTGTGTGTGCTCACTCCTGCTTTGTTCAGACACTGCAGTAGCAGTGAAAACTGGGGCTGGTTACACACTGAGGGCTGCTAGGCGATGCTGAAAGGCAGTGACTGCAGTGTACGGCTTTAACGCTGAGGCGGAGGGAAATACTGACTCTGAAAAATGGAGGCAGGGAATCAAGATGGCTTCAGTACAGCTGAAAATACATTTTTGGGATGTGTGTTTTGATGCCTTAAGGAGACGTCTGGCATTCTGAGCTCTCCACAAAGTCCTTTCAGCTGATATCCTCCATCTTCTGGACTATCATTTCCCCACCCACTCCTTCCTCCACCTCCTTCCTCTCTTCCGTCTTTCCCCAGCATCGATAACGAAGAATATAAAGCATCCTGGCTATTCCTTTTTTTATGTGGAATATATGTCATCCCTCCTTGTGGCTAAAAGGCTGACAGTCACACGTCGACGATTATATTTATTTTTGTTTTCCTTTCGCTTGCCATTCTGTGGATTTTATTAACCAACGGATTGTAAGGTGTCTCTACCAGTCTCCGGTGTTTTCGGTCCCTTGTTTTGCCTCTTGGGGTCAGAGTCTTCTGGAATGGCCTGCTTCTTTACTACGCAATCGGACTGCAGGTTTAACATAAGGATGCGTGCACTGGCCTGTGAAAACTCACTTGGGTGTCGCTGCTGAACATTGCTGGTAATTAGGCGCAGAGCCTTGTTGTTCAATTGGAAAGACGACGGAAACATTACCAAAATATGGACGATATGGCAGATACAGTATTCCTGTTAAATACAATGAATAAGGGTGATTAAATGGGTTCATTTAAGCTTTTATTTTGGGTGCTGAGGTGCATAATTTCATCTTTGATGGTGCTGGTGATTGGATATGTGTGTGTTCCAGTTTTATAACGGCTGTCTTTTGTGTCCCTTAGCTTGGCGACTGGGTGGCAGAAAAGATGCTAATGGCCCGTGATACTTCGCGGGACGAAGCGCAGAAGCTGCACAAGAAATGGCTAAAGCACCAAGCATTCATGGCTGAGCTCGCTCAGAACAAAGAATGGCTGGAGAAAATTGAGAAGGTTAGTGCAACTTTGAATGAATAGGAGTGGAGGGTCATATGTAGGACACGTGTCTCCCAGATGAAAAGGCATGACAAGTGATGGTTTAATGCGAGAATGTAATAAAAATGATTAGATTCTAAGTTTTTCAAAAAGTAGCAATATGGCTAATATTTAAAGGGAACTATTCAACTATTTTAACCGAGTAAAGTATTTCATTTTCAGGGGCTGCTACCTTTAACAGTTTGTGCCTTAAAAGTAGATGCCGTCCCTTTCGTATTCAAATTCTAAACAATATGTGTTTTTGGCTATCCACTACTTCTAAAATAAGTCGATGATCGGCTTTTTATGATTTGTAAAGCAAATTTCAGTTTCAGTTTTAATATTCTGTGGTGGCAATAAAATGGAGAGTTTATGATTACATAATTTAATCTGTATCATAATCTGGATGTATATGTGGAATCGAATTCGGATGTATTATTTGTATTTGCATTTGTGAATTGGCATCAAACTATCCTACATGATTATGTATCATTTTTAGAAGAGGGTGCAGAAACTGTAATAAGTAGTTGGAAGTTGGATGGATGGATGGATGGATGGATGGAAGGGTGGATGGATGGATACACAGGAATCTGCAAAGTCTGTGATGCTTCACAGTGTTTGCTTTCTAAGATTTTAGTTTCAGTTTTATATCTGGCAATATACTCTTGCAGCCTAACGCTTTTGACTGTCATATCACTAGTAATGCTAAACATTCCTTCTGTATCGAAAAAATGTGATTTTTCCAGTTTGCCTCTTTGCGTTGGAGCAAAATGGGTCTGTATAAATGCCCTGTGGAATTATTTGCTCGATGTTTCTTGCCTTATGATCCATGCTTCTAGATAAATGCATATTGTAAATATATTGATTTTGTCCGTTTTATGCATGCTGATAGCAGGTCCTAACAAAACTGTTTCAACATCCATATTGGACATATGGGTTAACATTTTAGGCTGTTTGTTGGTGAGATATGAATAAAATAACCATGCAACTCCCTAGCTAAAAAAAAAACTCAAGGAACAAATAATTAGGTTAATCATGGGAGGTCATAGTCCAACGTTGGCCTGTTACAGAACTGTCAAATATTCCACATATAGTAAAACATTTAAGGATCATTTATGATATTGCTGTCACAGAAGGCTGGGGTATCCCCAGGGTAGGATGTCAGTCCATCACAGGGCATACACACACACACACACATAAGTTATCTTATTTCAGTCTTTTAAATTTTTTACAATTAATAATTAATAAATACACCTTGCACAAATTGGCAACTGCTATTTTAACATGATTTCTTCACTATTGTTCCACATTTGCTGTTGAGTTTTAACAATGTCAGAATGCTAACAGTGTCTCAAATGGCATTAACATTTCTAATTTAACCGAAATGGCTTGTACAAATGATATATTTTCACATCAGGCTTATTTGTATTCATAAATTTTTAATCGATTTATTATTTTTACGTACAGTCACACTACATTATATATACATTATAGGCATATTAAAAATCAACATATTTTCATGTTAGTTCATCGCTAATTTAGTCCTGGCATGTGATACAGAAAGAGTTGTATTCATTTCTATTTTAAAAGAACAGATTTGAGGTTATTATTATGTTCAGATGTCAGAAGCTTTATAATCTCACTGGTGTGGTTTTTGGCTTACAGATATCAGCTGACATACTAACCTTTGGCCGTCTTTTACTTTACTTTCTCTCAGTTTGTATATACGTTAAAAATCACTTCATTATTTCTGCTTCATTACATAGGTTTTCCTGTAGTAGCCCAGGATGGAAACTACCAGTATTAATTCTTCCCGCTTTATAAAACCTGGGATTAAAGCTAATAAGCTATATTTTTCAACACCACGTAGGTCCTTTACATGAGTTTTTTGCTTCATAGTTTATATTTACAAAAGCATATTTAATAATGTATCCTTTTACAAATGCACAAAACAGCATGATCGTTAGATTATAGACGTGGCATAAAAATAGTGTCCTTTTAGTATGAAAGGGTCAATGAAGTCTTTCATTAAATTGTTTAGTAAAGAATTATCTAATTGTTACAGTCGCTAATTAATTTATCATCTAGGTATCACTAGTACATTAATTCATTTAAGTACTTAAGTACAGTTGGTGAATATCAAAATTATATCTTAAATAAAGATAGGTCTACGTTAGCACATTCCCCTTTGCCTAGACAAAGCCCTTAACATTTATTTTATCTCGGTGTTTTATATGCATAAAGGCAATCCATGAAAACAGGCACTGGCAAAAGAATAAAGAATGACTGTAGACAGTGTGATCATTTTCAAATCTATTTAAGTATCCGACTTTTAGCAATTATTTAATTCAAAACTAACTAAGAACTGTAGTACTGAAACAGACAGGACTGATCATTTCTAAAATGTTGTTAAATTGTTTTGGGGATTGGCTTAATTTAATTGAAATAACAATGAACAGTTTACAGTTTGTGCTAAACCAAATAAATTTTACGATAAAGTTAGGATAGTGCATTTGGAACTGAATACCGGGAGAATATTTGCATGTTAAAGGCACCTCACACCTCACATATTTTTTAAATATTTATATTTTTTAAAAACATTTAGAGCTGCATAGTCTTTTTTACTGAATAGGAAGAAGCTTGACTCCTGTGCATGTTAAATATGATGCAGTTATTAACAGTTTTAGATGTAATACATTGACTTTTTAATGAATATTTTGCATTTTATAATACTCCCTCAATTTTAAATATATTATTTTTTGCTCCATGTATATTTATCTGTGCTCTTTACATTCTTGCTGCTGTATGCACAAGAATTTCCCAGTGGGATCAACACTGTCCATCTAATCTAATCTAAATGAAGTAGGTTTAAAGTTGGCGTGGCATGCAGGCCTCCGGGCTCAGCACAGTCACCTCAGACCTCTGGAGACCTGGGTTTGATTTCCTGGCCCTGCTCTGTGCGTGTAGAGCTTGCTTGTTCTCCCAGTGTCATCGTGGGGTTTTCTCCAGCTTCCACCCCCAGTCCAAAAACATGCTAAGGCGAACCGGATTTGCCAAATTGTTCATAGGTGTGAATGTGAGTGAATGGTGTGTGAGTATTTTTAAACAATTTAGTTAAATCAGAATCACGAAACGCAATTTTGTAAAAGGGCACCAAAGTGCTTGCTTGATTTCCTCAAAAAATCTAAAACACATGTGATTACATGAATTGGTATCTTCAAACTGACATGTTTGTCCCTTGAAATGGACTGGGATCCTGTACAAGGCGTTCCCACCCTCAGCTTTCTGGGATAGGATACAGGGTCACTGCAACCCTGTAAGAGCTACGGAAAATCATTAGAGTCATGTTTCACATATGCACCTAAATTTGGCTCAGTTGAATCTCTTTTCCTATTGCATGTTCTAAAACCACATCGCAAGCTTTAGCCCGTGCTGCTTGTGAGTTTAAAAACATGCCAGTAGATCAGTGTTTTCCATTCCGGTCCCCCGGGACCCACAGACAGTCCACGTTTAGGCAGGGAGCAGAGAGGGAGCGAAGACATGCACCGGGCGTGGGACCCCGAGGACCGGACTGGGGAAAACTGCAGTAGATGGTCGTCAGTAAAATTATTTCTTAAAGTAATAGCAAAAAAATGCCATCTTAAATTAGTTATAAACACAGATATATTTTGTGAAATTTCGTGTCTTCGTTTGACTTAATGATTTTATAAATTTTTGTGTAACAATTCATCTTTAATTATTGTTACTGATAAACTAAAGGTTATTAATAGTCTGTTTTAAAATTCTGTACTACATTTCTTGAATAATACTTAAATGATGCCATGGTTACGTTTACGTTTGGTTTGGTGATCACTTTGACCATTACCTAAATACCTAAAAATATCAAATTGTAGGGAAAAATTTACATTTTTAGTGGGTGTCATTTGTTTGAGACAATTTAAAAGAATACAGTTTGACATTATACAGGTTTTCCCAAGTCAGACTCATATTTATCCTGTTAGACAAGGATCTGACCACAGGAGTACATTGGTGCTGAGAATAATAACCTTGATCAAGTATAGGATTTGATGACAGTAGCTTGGTAGAAAAAATAAATAAAAACCAATAGTAGGGTTTTGAACTTTGTGCCCGGTGCTGCCTGGGATGGGCTCCAGGCCCCCTCACAGCTAGAAGCATGGATGGATACCACCCAGTGAAAGGTGAACAGGAGGAATGAGATGCAGGAACACTCATGCAGGTTCAGGACATTATCGAAGTATTACTCAAGAGTTGAGAGAACATTCTCAGTCTTCCAGGCTGTTCTAATTACTGAATGTACTCCGTCCTCATCCTGCCGTGAGTCACTATCTTCTGTTGATATGGAGTTTTGCATCTTCTTGCGAGGGACAAGTGGCTACATGTGACAGCATTTCCATTCTGCGATGGGTATCTTTGTTGCGTCAGTTGAGAGGGATGGGTTTCATTTTCTTGCCAGAACTCCATGGCTGGATGTAGAGAAAGACTTAGATATCGCGAGGAGAATGAAGTGATGAAGGAACGCAGTATATTTCAAGCAATTGAGATAGATGTGGGCATTTTGAGGGAAATTATAGATCAGAGATCAGGAGTTCACAAGTTATGTAATTAGCAGCAGAGGGACGAACTGCGGGATACGAACAATGTAAATGTTAACGGGGGCAGAGATTCAGTACAATATCTAAATGAATTGGGTAAACTATATTTACCACATGATGCTTAGAAAATGTGCAGTAAATACATGGGTGTTATTTCGTAAGGATATTTGTTGGATTTGTTAGAGCATCATACAGTACATGACATAAAATCGACAGCCATGGTTTCTGTGGTTTCCAAATGGTTTCTAAATTATGAAATAGTAATTTTAAGACAAGTCAAGGAGATTAGTGCTGTTATGCACTGGCATAGATTTAACATATCTATGGAATAAATAAGGTTCGTGCAAAAATATTGTGAGAATAGTTATAGATGATTATATGTTTAAAATATATAGTATCAGTCAACAGTTTAAAGCACAGCTAGCCATATAAAGGTTTATTTGTTCTATTCTCTACATTTTAGAATAAACACAAATACATCAAAACTGTAAAATGACAAAAAAGTACTGACTAAAAAGTATTAAACCAAAAACATCAGTTTGTTGGGAGGCAGTTATCTGAGTTGGGACTCAGAATATTGCTGGTTCAAATCCCTGAGTTGGCAGAGTTATTCCAATATTGGGCCCTTGAGAAAGGCCCTTAACCCCAATTGCTCCAGAGACCGGCTGACCCTACTGTCTCCTCTACGCCAGTTTGATGAGGTGGCCTCTTGGGATGCTTTTCCAGCTGTCCTGAAGTAGGTCCCACATATATGCTGAGGTCTCATTGGCTGCTTTTCCTTCACTCCCTGGTAAAAAAACATTTTCCACCGTGTTTAGGTCAGGTGGCTAGGTCATGTGATGTGACACTATTACTCTCCTTCGCAGGTGGCTTGGCGTGTCCAAACCTTGGACTGGTACTGTATATAAAAATAACATAACTTGCAAACTTTGTTTTTCCTCCAGTCTTGCAGAATGCCCTTTGGCTCTGCATACAGTGCACACGTCGTCCTGCGGTGCATTACCCCCCCCCCCCCCCATCCACTTTCCATATTAGGCTCCTTGGAACATTCACTGTTCCTGACACTCTCATATTTCTGCTAGCATCGCAGTAAGGGAGGAGCAATGCGTGAGCAGGTAGAACTGAGACGCAGAGCTGGGGAGAGAATACAGATAGAATATTATGTAAACTGCAAGGCTGAACTAAATATTATCCATGGGGTGCATTTATTTATCATTAATAATTATTTGTTTCCTGTTTTTCGGTTTGCTGGTGTATGCTAGTGCAGTGACAGAAATTGTATAGTCTTAACATTATGCGTTTTGAAAAAGCATTACACATCCCTTATGTTTTTATAGTATGTTAAACTTTTAATGTTATTAGTGAAATAGTTACTTGTTTTAAATGTTTAGCCTCTTGAATAGCTCAAATATCCCAGGTCAGTTAAAGCAATTGTAATTGACCGTGACATTTATATATGTAATTTTCACAAATATGTATGTAACAGGAAAAACATATATTACAGGCTGGTGATGATCATGCACTAAGCCAAAGTTGTGTTTTTGACAATGAAATACATTAAAACTGTTTTCCTGCTGATGTCTAAAAGTGTGCAGATAGGTAAACTGCCATTTGTAAATTGCCCATAGTGTGTGATTATCTGTGTGAATGTGCCCTGCGATGAACTGGCATCCCATCCAGGATCTATATTAGCTTTCTACCCTGTGCTACCTGGGCCAGGCTCCAGGACCCCCCCCCTAACCCGGTACTGGTTTAGTTGACTTATGAGTTAACAATTTCTTAGCATAGCACTATAGATGTAGCATATCTTCTGATTATTTTTCATGAATCTGTGCTTTATTTCCTTCAGGAAGGTCAGCAGCTCATTCAGGAGAAACCTGAGCTGAAGTCCATCGTTCAGCGAAAGCTGGAGGAGATTCGGGAATGTTGGCAGGACCTGGAAAGCACCACCCAGGCTAAAGCTCGGCAGCTCTTTGAAGCAAACAAGGCTGACCTACTTGTTCAGAGCTACTCTAGTTTGGACCAGCGACTGTCCCATTTGGAAGGCCAGCTATCACATCTTGATCAAAGCCCGGACCTAACCAGTGTCAACAAGCAGCTAAAGAAACTTCAGGTCTTCATTTCCTTTAAAATGTTTTTGCTGCAAGAAAGAGCAGTGTTTCCGAATACTAGGTGCTGGGGGGGAGCAAAAACATGGACGGTCTGGTGGGGAGCTGGGAGGGAGCAGAAACATGGACGGTCTGGTAGGGAGCTGGGAGGGAGCAGAAACATGGACGGTCTGGTAGGGAGCTGGGAGGGAGCAGNAGGGAGCAGAAACATGGACGGTCTGGTAGGGAGCTGGGAGGGAGCAGAAACATGGACGGTCTGGTAGGGAGCTGGGAGGGAGCAGAAACATGGACAGTCTGGTAGGGAGCTGGGAGGGAGCAGAAACATGGACCGGTTATGGGTCCCCAAGGACCGGATTGGGAAACACTGCTTTAGAGACGACTTATTCTTGGGTTTAACCTTACTAGCCAACTGTTATTGTATTTATTTATTTCTCCTTTTAATATACTTTAAGTGGATAGGGAAAACTTAGTACTGAATGTTTAATATTGGCAGTAATGACAAATTTGGTTCCATGGATCTGTATTCTTGTGCAATTTAAGAAGGCATGAGTAACATTTATGTTCATCAGCTGAATTAGTATGTTGTACTTCTAAGCAATGTAGTAAATAATAGTAAACCCACTCAGCATAGGAAGACTAAGCAAACATCACAGACACACAAGCCCAGACAGTGCTGGAAAGGAGAGGCAGTGAGCACACTGAAAGTTTCATCTATTGAGTGTATTCATTACATAATTTATTTGATGAAGCAGATTTATGCAGATGTTTGGTTGTGTGTTCATAGTGCCACTTCACTGCAAATCACTAAACATACGTACAATTTATGCATGTCATTTTTTTCTTAGAGCATGCTGGTCCTATGAACTGCTTTGAGTACCTTTTTATCCTGAAATTATGGTTTGTATCCTTGCCACCCACCGAACTTCATGAGGGGTACAGTACATTTTTGTTTTGCTCCATCTTTTCTCCCATCTGATTGCTGTCTTTAACCATTTAACATCCACATCTCTCCTTCTTTTTGTTTTTTTTTTCTGATTGACCTAGAATCATTGTGTGTTTTTGACTTCTACACAAATACCCGAGAACCATACGAAATCCCCACAGTTTGCTGTCATTCTGTTCACCTTAGAAGGTCAAATGTTTATTTATTGAGGATTTAAGCTAGCAATGAATGATCCAACAAGAATGTTTTTCTTACGTAATTTTCTACTTTCCTTCCAAACTACATAGCAGTTACTTTTCGTTCATACTTCTGTTTTTAAATACCTGTGCTATTTAGATGCTCAACATCTAGAAGGATTTCAGGCTACTAATGTGGCTACTGAGGTAGACCTAATTTTTTTGGTATCATTTTAGATGTCTATTATCATAGTACATCAATAACCTCCCATATTACAAGAAAAAATGCCTTTTTGCCTAATCAATACTTCATGCAGCTAATTAATTTGACTAATGAAGTGAGCTGGAGGTGAAATTTAACAAATATATGGACCTCGAGCAAAGTTTTGAGAACCAAAGCTGTATTATTCTCACCGTACAAGATGTTACAATCTTTTTGGAGCACAGAATGCTTTTTAGTGCTCCGTTTATTTGTATATGTTCTGATATCGAACTTTTTTTTGAGCAGTAATACAAGTACCACCCAGATACATAGCTTTAAAGACAATCTGGCTTTGGCTAAGACTTTTGCAGTGTACTGATCACAGTGTATATACAGTGGATGTAACAGTGTACACGCCTTTTTGAAGCTGCAGATTTTCTGATGTAAAGCCAAAAATCAAGAACAGTCATATCATACATTTTTCCATGTTTAATATGACCTTGTAACAAACAAACGTAATTAAATAGGACAAATAATTGGAATTAAAAAACCTACAACATCCTATGCACTCCTTCCCGCCAACTAATACTTTGCAGAAGCACTATTCACATTTATTGCAGCAGAAAGTCTTTGTTAATATGTCTCTATCTTCTCTGCAAAGAATTTAAAGCTCCTTCTTGTTGCCTGGGGATCTCCCAGGACAGTCTTTTTAAGTTAGGTCAGTCCACCGATTTTCTGTGGCATTGAGGTCCGGGATCTGCCTGAGGCTCTCCAAGACTTTGATATTCCTTTTCTGTAGCCATTTTTGGTTGACTTGGGTGTTTGCTTTGGGTCATGTTGGAAAGTGAAAGTCATTGACCCATCTAGAGCCCATGTCCCGTGTCCCGTAGCCCTAAAGCGGCACCACTTTTCACAATAGGGTGTTGGGTGCTTTGGATGATGGACTTTGTAGTCTTCATGCCGTACATCTCTCGAATCAAAGCCAAAAAGGCAACCTTTGTCTCACCATACCATAAGACAATTTCCCACATGGTTTGGGGTGATTGAATGTATTTTTCCTCGCAAAATATTGATGTGCTTGGATATAAATTTTTTTGAGAAATGGCTGAAATCATAGCTATCCCAGCAGAACACAAACGTTTTAAGAAACTCAGGAACAGGCATAGTTGGTTCTTAGTTGGGATAAATGAGAATCATGTTTGTCTATGGAAAGTGTATGCTAACTTGATGATTTTGAATGCGGTGGTTTCATTTTCCTAAAAAGGTGTGCATATTTTTGCATCCAGGGTGTTGTAGTTTTTTTAATGGTTTGTCTTACTAATTATCTATTTTTCTCTTGAATTTAGCTTGTTGCAGGTCAATAAATGATGGGAAAAATGTCTGATTTTATATGTAAATATACAGTACAGTACAAAAGTCTTAGGCAGCAAAAGAAAATGATGTTTAAAGGATATTAATGTTGGTGTAAAACTATACTATTATGCCTGTCAAAGTGTGCTAGCTTAGCCATTTCAAAACCTCTGCTAAAATCACCCCAGAATTTGCAGCAATCATCCAATTCACACAGGTGTTTTTTTGACTTGACCACTAACGCACCTTATATAGCTAATCAATATCTCATTGACTATTCTTAACTAATTAAATTAATTAATTAAATGTGCTGGTGCTTAAATTTAATGAATACATGTAATGGCTGGAGGTTTGGGAGCTGAAGAGCCGTTCATCTAGCCATCCAACAAGACCTCAGGAACTCCTCAAAGAACGGAAGACATTTTTACTAGTTTTTATTATTAATTCGTATATGTGTTCTGATATGATATTGATATTGTGTTTTTTTTTGTTCTGAGTAAATGTGCACATTCTACCCAGATAAATACCATTAAGCATTTTGCACAGTACTGCATATGCATACTGTGGCGTTCGCTTCTGTTAGCTGTGATACTCTGAACCTAAGTTTCTTTTTCACTGCCCGTCTTGATTCTGGGGGTCCAGACCATGGAGTCTCAGATGGAGGAGTGGTACAGGGAGGTGGGTGAGCTGCAGGTCCAGGCAGCCGCCATTCCCCAGCCGGCCCTGACCAGGGACGTCAGTATGTCAGACAAGCAGTCTATGGTGGAGACACGCATCGTACGCCTCATCGAGCCACTCAAGGAGCGCCGGCGCATCCTGCTGGCTTCCAAGGAGGTGCACCAAGTGGCCCGGGACCTGGAGGACGAGATCGTGAGTGATTCTATCCACATCAGTTGTATTCCACCTTTATTTTATCATGTTTGATCATCATAACTTGGTGCCTGGGCTTTTGAACAGGGGCGGCACAAGAGATTGTCTTTTGTGGGCACTGTGGGGTTCTTTCAGCAAGGGTGCTCTGAATTTTAGGGTTTCCCCTTAATGTTCCCGTCTCCGCAGTTTAATTTCTACGGCAACACCCCCAAAATGCGTACACAAACACGCATGCAAATAAGCAGCACCCGCTCTGTGACAATTATAGTGACACTCAGTGTTAAACACAATGTGAGATATTAAATTACCGTATTCGTACATTAAAAATAAAAATTTAAATCTTAATAAACCACAGATATTTCTTGGGGGTGCTAAGGGGGTGCTATGGCTATCATAGGAGTAGGAACAGTACACCCCAAGCCCCCCCCGCCGCCACCCCTGTTGTTGAATAATAATGCAAAATTCAATCAGATGAGAAAGTAACTAAAACAGGCATAGCTACACTCAGATAATCATATTAAATGTCTTACGTATTTTTATTTTGTTTCTGAAGCTTTGGGTCCAGGAGCGCCTCCCAATGGCCACTTCCATGGAGCACGGGAATAGTCTGCAAGCTGTCCAGCAGCTCATGAAAAAGAATCAGGCAAGGAATGATGCCCGTCGCCAGGAGGGTGCTCTGCAGACACTGAAGCTGGGGCATGGAAACAAAAACACATGTCGTTTGCCATTTTAATGTTTTTTCCCCTTAAACAGAAAAAGTATGGTGTGGGATCTGCATAACTCCACCAACTTTGCATTGTTTGCCATTATTTCCCAGAATCTGCAGCGCGAGTTGCAGGCACACCAGGTCCGGATGGAGGATGTGCTGGAGCGGGCGGGGCTCATCGGATCCATCAGGAGCCCTGAGGTAGATTGCGTACGGGCCAGTCTAGAGAGGTTGCAGCACCTGTGGGACACTCTGCGACTAGAGACCGAACAGAGACAGCAGAATCTGGACGCTATGTACCAAGCACAGCAATACTACTTTGACGTGGCTGAAGTGGAGGCCTGGCTGAGTGAGCAGGAGCTGCACATGATGAATGAGGAGAAAGGCAAGGTAAGATAAGATAGATGCATCGGTTCCTCTGCAAAGGTATAGATGTGGGTTGAGGGGGTCAATGACAATATCTTTCACAGAGATACCGATTTTTCTTGTGTTTGACACGGATGAAACAGAGCCTCTTCCCAGCTTACAATAGGGGTTACGTTCCGATAAACTTGTCGTAAGGCGTAAATGGATTTTAATACAGTACACCTAACCTAAGAAACATCATAGTAGCCTAGCCTGTCTTAAAAACATGCTTATAACATTTACATTAGCCCACAGTTGGACAAAATCATTAACACAAAGCATGTTTTATAATACAATGTTCAATATCTCACGTAATTTATTGGATAATGTACTGAAAGTGGAAAACATTTACCATCGTAAAGTCAAAAAATCACAACATTGACCATCGTAACCCAGAGAGCATCTATATATCCAGAAGCTACTATACATGATGTATTCTGTCCTTACGGTGTATCGGGAAAAAAATACGGTATCAGCTCCTTAAGCAGCTGTAGCTCCTAGTAATGCTGTGTCCAATGGATCGCTCCCCAGGACGAGCCCAGCACTCTGAAGCTTCTAAAGAAGCACCTGGTTTTGGAGCAAACCGTCGAGGACTATGCAGAGACCATAGGCCTTCTCTCTCAACAATGCAGACAGCTTCTGGAACTGGGCCATCCGGACAGGTACCTTCAAAGTCATTTGTGTTGATTGCTCTAAATCAGGGATCCCCAATTGCAGGCATTGGGGGCCAGCCTGCAACACAGCTTGCAAATTTCCCTGCTCTATTCGGCTCACCTGCTCATTGCCAGGTTTATTAGGTGTGTTAAAGCAGGGAAATCTGTAAACCGTGGTGCAGATTAAAGACGTAAAATCAAAAAACTCCTTGAATAATCCCTTTTTTGCTGTTCTTTTATTATTCAGTCGTAATGATGTTGTAATGTATCACAACACACCCACGTAAAGCGCCTTGGCGCAGCTGTTGTGTGAAAAGGCACTATATAAAAATTAATTGAATTGAATTGAATAATCAATACCTTTAATACTTTGCCAGATAATAGTTACAATATAGGCAATGCACTGCATATTTGACTATGTATAACTGTTTTTTATTATGTAAGACTGTTTTTAAATTCTTTATATAAAAGTTATACATCTGCCATCACTCTGACATTATATAATATAGTGTAAAATCCAAAAAAAATGTTATTTTAAAGTTTGCAGACACATTAGAGAAGTAATTAGTATTTTTTCATACACAGCACCACATGCGAAAATCGTTATTATTGTTACTGGATGAGTGAGCTCTGTGAACAAGCCGACGCAGCAGCCTTTGTGGAGCAGAGTTTAGCTCAGCATGTTAGGGAAGGAAAGGCATGACTTCAAACCCATCGCCGGCACAGTAATCATATCGCTGTTCAGCCCTTCTTCAAGACTTGCAGTCAAAATGTCCTCCCTTCCATGTCACTTACAACAAAAACAATTCCTAAATAAATTAAAAGTGAAGTGTTTTTAGAATTGCAGAATATAAACACAGAGGAGCTTTCCATACCACCATTTTTTTCATTTGTTTGTACTGAATGTCTCAGAACAGCATTAATAGTAACAAACATTGATTTATTAATCAAATACCCAGCGAATAGGGCAGCCAGTGACTCACTGATTAGCACTCAGTTCCACCCCTTCAGATTACTGGGGTCTATTTCTGCTGCTGACTCTGTAGAGTTTATGATCTCTCTGCGTTTCATATCCTTCCTGTATTCCAGGTTCCTCCCATCATCCAGAAGCATGCAGTTTAGGGGATCCGGTGTCTCGAAATTGCCCTTAGTGTGCAAATGTATATGAAATGCAATAGACTGAAACCTGGCCCTGAGTGTGTCGTGCCTTTGCCTTGTGCCCTTTGGCCCATTGTAACTCCGTATTAGATACAAGCATATGTAGTATGTAGTATGTAGTATAAACACTTGTTCCCAAAAATTTTCACTGCTTTGTCTGCCACCATCTTTCACTGTCTGACTGCTTGCAATTGAATATACAGAAATGAGATATTTATATATACACATTTCTTATTACTCTTGTGTTCTTAATTCTAAATGTAATCTGTTCAATTCTTCTGCCTAATTTAAAGTAAGTTTACCTTTTTGTAGTAAAATTTACAAAAAATACTTTGGGTGATGTCTTCAGAACAAATCTAAATACAAATCAACAAAATTATATACTAATATTAGAGTCAACAATGTAGATAAAATATTGTAGATTGGTATGTGAATGTTGCCAAAAACTGGTTAAAAAAATTAAGTTGTGAAATAAATATACAAAACCCAGCTAAAGAATTCATGTAGCTGGGTGACGGAAGACACATATGAGGAATGAGAACAGTGATGGTGGATTTTCAGAGAACAAGTCCATTGAACATTGTGAGAGTCCGACCAAATGTCAATAGAAAGCAGAACCCTGTAGTCCAGGCATCTTGCTCTTTGCAGTCAAAACATTGAGCGATGCAGTTTTACTTGTATTATGCTGTTTCACTTGTAACGGTCCAATGTGTTAAAGGTTTTTACTGTATGTTTATGGCAGCGAGCAGATTAGCAAGCGGCAATCTCAGGTGGACCGATTATATGTATCGCTGAAGGACCTCGTTGAAGAGCACAAGTCCAGGCTAGAGCAGCAATACTGGCTCTACCAGCTAAACCGTGAAGTGGACGAACTGGAGCAATGGATCGCAGAGCGTGAGGTGGTGGCCAGCTCCCCTGAGCTCGGACAGGATTACGAGCATGTCACGGTTAGTGTGCAACATCGGCAGTTTTATTGTCAAATGAAGAGTAATTCTATACTGGATTACTGCTCGGCCTACAGGGAGTTGTATTAGTAATCCTTAGCGTGAGGGGGAAAAAAAATCACTAAAATGATTTCATTTTTCCAGTCTTCAGAGATCGTTATGCTGCAGAAAACAATTCTGACCTTTCCCACAAACCTGCCAAGTCTCAACCCCCCGACCGTGTGAACAGTCTGTCTAATTTTGGCTCTCAGAAGTGTTGATGCAGAAAAGAGAAAATCTTGGGAGGGGGTAAAAGGCTCTTATGTATTTTATCTCTAAATTAGCAATAAAAAAGAGTAGACATGGCAGATCCTTTGATTCGATGATAAGAAACACCAAGACATGGTTTAACTCAAATTAGACTTGTATGAGTGGTATTTCCATTGGAATCCATCTCTGAATGGAAACAATCTCCTTTGAAAAAAAATGTTCCGTCTGGCATATGGGGTATTTCATACATAATAAGCAAGGTGTATAATAATGAAAGAATTTAATTGTTGTTAATCAGCACTGAGCTCGTTCTTTATAGATACCTTAAAGGTAATCTGCATACCTTAATATAGTCAAATGGCCATTTTGAAAATATGTTCATTCATTTTAATTCAGTTTAAAGAGGAATATATGGAAGATTAATGTATTTGATTAATGGATTAATTGGTTACCTGCACTGTGAAATGCTGACCAGAGGTTAATAGGCTTCTCCTTAACTCTGGTTTCTCTCAAGGTTGCTTCCTCTATCTGAGAGAGTTTTTTTTTGCCACTGTCACCTCAAGCTTATTCTTGGGGGAGCTCTGGATTCTTTAAAGTGTTTTGTGACAATGCTCCTTGTTAAAAGCAGTGCAGAGATAAAATTGAATGGGTTGCGTAATAGCATGGAGGCTCAGTGGATGGCACCATACACTAATGGTGGCATAGAGGCTTGGTGGGTGGCACTGTACACTAAAGGTGGCATGGAGGCTCAGTGGATGACAGCATTGCCTCATCCTACCAGGAATGGAAGTTGGTCCAGTTATTTAAAGGGGACCTATTATTATATATTTCTTTTCTTTTAGTGCGTTATCTAGCTTTAGGCACATGTAAACGGTCCGCAAAAATTGAAGACCGAAAATACACGCCAAAGGAAGTAACTCTCACTACAGAAACAACTTTTCTATAATCGGAATTGCAGTCCTTATTTCCGCGACATGGTGAGGTCACCTTGTTATACATTCCTTATTGGCCGCCTATCAGCAGGGATCTGTCTGCAGACTGCAAGAGAGGGGCGGAACGTGTAGGGCAAACTGACCAATCGGAGCACGCTGGGCTCATTGGGGGTGGGGCTTAAAGCTCAAACATGGCATTTCAGACAGAAGGTGAATAAAGATGAGAAAAATAAAAATAAATTAAAATGAGAAAATTTGCATAATAGGGCCCCTTTAATATTTAAGTTTAAATCCTGTTTCTGCTCCATTCGCTGTGTGGGTTTTCTTCTGGAGTTGGCTAATTTATCTCTAAATTGCCTTGCATGTGCTCTATAATGGACTGGCACCCCACAGAGGGAATACCCTTGCCTTGTGCCCCCCCCCCCCCCCCCCCCATGACCCCCTGACTAGGCTAATGGGTTGGAAGATTGATGGATGTTTGCTTAAAATTTTTAAGTTAATATTTGCCACTGACAGAACTTTTTGCTTAGCAAACAGATGGATCCATTCATAAATCCTTATTGTTCCTGTTGAAATTCTCAGATTCTGCAGGAGAAGTTCACAGAATTTGCCACGGAGACTGGCATGTTGGGTCAGGAGAGGGTGACGGCTGTGAACCAGATGGTGGATGAGCTCATTGACTATGGCCACGCCGATGCAGCTACCATTGCAGAGTGGAAGGATGGCGTGAACGAGGCCTGGGCTGATTTGTTGGAACTGATGGAGACGCGAGCACAGATGCTGGCTGCATCACACCAGCTGCACAAATTTTTTGCAGATGCCCGGGAGGTATACTGTCAGGAATATTTGGACCATTTTAAATATTATGTTGTTATGCTACTTATTAGTTATATATTCATTTGTATGCGATGGGTTGGCGCCCCATCCTGGGCTATTCTCTGCCCCGCCCATATTTTCTAGGATAGGCTCTGGACCCCCCATGATCCTGAATAGGACAAGAGGGTGCAGAAATGGATGGGTGGATGTTGATTTGTTAATTATTTTGCCTTGTTTGCAGTAATATTTAGTTGTATTTCTGAGTCTGAAGCTCTAATGACATAAATCAATCCTCCAGATGTGAACGAAAGGTGCCGTGAGTGAAGGTGAAGGTGATTGTGTTGGGTTGTAGGTTTTGGTCCAGATCGCGGACAAGCAGAGGCGGTTACCTGAGGTGCGGGCGTGTCAGGAAGGTACAGCCAACACCAGCACGCTGCAAAGGCTCATGCACACGTTTGAGCAGGACATTCAGCTGCTCATCACCCAGGTGAGCGCACTCGACAGGCACAGACTGAGTCACGTTCTGTGTCGTTCGGTGGTCGGCGATAGAGAACTTCACTGGGTACATAAATACCGGCAGTCGCCGAGTTAAGAACACCCAACATACGGACAACTTGTACTTATGAGCAGAATGCCATAAAGCATTTTATATAAAAAAATTGGGTTAAATATAATGGTTCGTAATAACGGACGCACACGCTCCTTAGTGACAGCTTCAGCAACTTCAACAGTTTGTCGACTTGAGGTACAGTACAGTTACGTATGTAGTTACTGTACTGTACTATTATTTTACCAACTTACCTACAAATTTGATTTAAAGAGAGTCTTAGGGAATGGATCTCATACATAACCTGGGGATTGTCTGTAACTTTATTATTTGAACTTAGTATGGCACTATGGAAAATGTAAATATGATACCCATATTTTTTAAATTTAGATTTATTTAGATTTTAGATTTGCTATGTTTCCTTAAGTTTTTACTTTTGTGAAAGAGGTACTGATCATATTTATTTAATCACTACTCGGTTTGTGCCCCGGCGAATCAAAGCAAAACTACTGAGTGAAACCAACTAAAACATGGTAAATCTTCATGCACAGGTGCGGCAGTTGCAGGAGAGTGCAGCCCAACTTAGGACTGTCTATGCAGGTGAAAAGGCAGAGGCCATTGCCTGCAAGGAACAAGAGGTGATGCTGTCCTGGAAGGAGCTGCTGAATGTATGCGACGAGTGCCGTGTGCAGATTACCACTGTGACAGACAAGCTGCGCTTTTTTGGTGTGGTGCGTGACCTAATTATCTGGATGGACGGCATCATCTGCCAGATCGGGACAGGAGAAAAGCCCAGGTACCGATAGCATTTAAACACATCATTTATGGAAGAAGACTCTATCGAAGAAGCTCAAATTTAAGCTCAGACTGAAAAAAAATGCATCACATGTATAACTGTAACACTGAAGGATACTCCTGAATGAAAGGGATGCAATATTTGATGAGGATTGGTGCCTCCTCATAGATCCTGAATAAACTTCAGACATCTAAGGCATAAGCAAGCTGTTTCATCAATTAAAGCCAATGAGACCTTAGAGATAGATATTGGACCTGTCTGGCATTGTGTAAATCTCTTATTTTGCCTAAAAAATAATCAGAGTCCATAATATATAAAAGGGTGATGGTGCAAAGCTAGGCTCATTTATATATTTCACCTGTTCCTTATTCGCGGTCGTTAAATAATGTTGAGTTTTATCTCTTGCCCCAGTAAACGCACCAAGACCCTGATTCCTGAGGCCAATCACAACTGTAGCCCTTTAACTACAAGAAAAACTTTTTTTAGTTACTTGTGTTTATTTTTCCCTGTGCTAAATGGTGGTCTTTCCTTCCCTGGTGCTTTTGCTAAACACTACTTCACCACTGTCCCCAAGCAGAGCACCTGATTCTTTCTGCTATCCTTGTTTTATGCTCTGGACTGACTTCTGCAAGATCACGGAGGTGGTCTAGGCAGGAGAAATAAATATTATGGCCAGATCAGTCATTCTTCACTGTGTTTGGAACAAGTAGTTTGTTATGCATGCCAAAGATGTATACAAACCTGAAGACTATAAAAGGTTCTGACAGTCCTGTTGTGGTAAGGATGTTTTTTCTCCTGTAGATCTGCTCATGCAGCTACAGGGGTAAAAGTAAAAATTCAAAAGCCATGTATTATTGTTGAGCAATGATTCCATATACTTTCAATATGGTTGCAGTTGTTCTAAAGTATTATGGCAATATACATTGACACTGTAGATCATATAGACCCAATGTACCATAGAGGTAAGGGCGCACACTGATATGGTGCGAACCACCATATCAACCACATGACGAACCACCTCAGGGGTGAGAACCCAAGTGCAGCCATGTGTAGGGCGATACCTCGGCACCACGCTAGTTCGAATGGAACAGAACAGTGTGACATTTTTTCCAGTCTCTGGAGTGCAAATCCTACCATCAACCACCAAATTTTCCCTGTCAATTGAAGAACCTGCTCGCAGGGATAGATGTAGATTAACATCATACCCAGACCAAAGTAATTGCAGGTTAAGGGCCTTGCTCAAGGGCCTTGGCAGATAGCATTATACATTTTTGTATATATCACAAAAGGTTATGTGCATTGTACATCATTATAATCAGAAGTGATACTTCAGACAAAACATGCAAACTTCTTCCCACTATAACCAAATGCTAGTATTTTTACTACATTTTAATTTTATAAATATGTTTTTTTTCTAGCAGTTGAGAATCGAATTCCTATATTTTAAATTCCGACAGATTTTTCACCATAATATTTTCTGACTATTCAATTCATTATTTAAACGAATCCCTCCTTGAAATGTCTACAGTTACCAACTCTGCAGCAAGTTGGGTCGTATCTGATGTTGATTTACGTCCTCCAGCATTCATTCATTTAGGTTTGATGCCTGAGAAGGTCTGAGTAACTGTCACATACAGTATAACATTATTCTGAGCTTTCATCTGGTTGTGCCATTGAAATAAAACACAATGCACAAATAACGGGAATTATGCTCTCTGGCTTCTTTAGGGATGTTTCTTCGGTGGAGGTTCTGATGAACTATCACCAGAGCCTGAAGTGTGAAATCGAGGCACGCAACAAGAGTGTGATCCAGTGTGTGGAAATGGGGAAGACACTTCTGGCAGCTCGCAACCCTGCAGCTGAAGAGGTGACAGACGATAATCGCATATCGCATAACAATAAGGAGGCCATTCGGCCCATCAAGCTCATTTGGGCAGAACTTAACTAATAGCTCAGAGTTGTTAAAATCTTATCTAGCTCTGATTTAAAGGAACCCAGGGTTTTAGCTCGCACTACACTAACAGGGAGACTATTCCATACTCTAACTACACGTGTAAATAAGTGCTTTCTCAAATCCATTTTAAAATGTTCTCCTGCTAATTTCCACCTATGGCCACGAGTTCTAAATAGTTTTTTTTTTTTTTTTATGGAGAGCAGTCAAATGTTGAAAACCCATATAAATAACAAATGCATTATTGTAGTCATGGGCCAGAACAATGGTCTTACACCTCTTAAGATATGGGTTTCATCTGGGTGGATAGTTATGGATTATGCTAATCTGCATGTTGACTATTTGGATTATAGATCAAGGAGAAATTGGATAGGATTGTGGCTAAGCAGAAAGAGCTCACTGAAAAATGGGACAAACACTGGGAGCTTCTACAACACAGTGAGTACTTTATGTATGTTGTTACATAGCAAAGTGTTGTGTACATTGTTGTGGAGCATGAAGAATTTTACTTAGAACATGTTCACCATTTAGGTAAATGTGTGAAATGATTGCATTTGCACAAATTTATATCAGAGTATTGCATTTATTTATTACTAAGGTTCACCTGATATTTTTCTACGTTTCTGTGCATAGGCATTAATTTCAACATCTATTTATGTCACCTGACAATAGGAAGTGAAAAGTTGTTGTTATGTTTTTCTTTGCATTCTTTGCAAATGCTTTATTTAATATGTGTATATTTTTTTATTATTATTTATTGACATTAGGCTGGGTTTTTGCAATATGGAAAATAAAAATTCTGCACCTTTTACATGTGCAGACTTTGATATCTCAGAATAAAGAATCAAAATGAATGGAAAACATCCAATTCTTTCTGAATTCCAGAACTATCATTCCAGAATTTGGATGAAATTTGGTGAAAAAATTCAGCTAGTGGTAGTGACAGACTAGTGATACATCCAACAAATTAAAATTGAAATACCAGCCAATCAGAGCATGCCATGAAACTTTGCACGTTTTCAATATTTCAAAAGTTAATAAAGTGACATTAGTAAAGTGAGCCAATTAGAAATCATTTTAGGTAGATATTGTTGTGCCAGTATTATCCCTAGAAAGGGTAGAAAATGCCTAGAGAAAGGCAGAAAACATGCATAAATATGACGAGGATCCTGGATGACACAGACAATATATGCTCGTCTTGCCCTCAGTGCTTGAGGTACACCAGTTTGCCCAGGAAGCTGTGGTGGCAGAGGCCTGGCTAACAGCCCAGGAGCCGTTCATCAACAGCAGCGAGCTTGGTAACAGTGTGGACGAGGTGGAGCAGCTGATTCGACGGCATGAAGCCTTCCGCAAGGCCGCCGCCACTTGGGAAGAGCGCTTCAGCTCGCTACGCCGGCTAACTACGGTGCGGAAGACTCTTAATCTTCCTGATTCACACATGTAACCATTATTGCTTTCTTCATGCTTATTAATTGTGTAGGTATAACATATACAGACAGGTCACCCAGGGCTGTAAGGCTGCCAGATCAATCAATTAATCAATCAGTCTTTATTTATATAGCATTCTTTTAACCACAGGGTTTGCAAAGTGCCTTACAGACATTTAAAAGAAAGGAATTCAAATAAGTATACAAGAAATAACAATAAGCACAGAGAATTTTTTTTTATTGATTGCCACACCGGGGACTATAGCACCTACCACACCGGGGACTATAGCACCTACCACACCGGGGACTATAGCACCTACCACACC